ACAGTTTTAAAGACCTCTCGGGAGGGTCACAAGGGGGGGGGCAAACCCCGCCACAGGAGGGACGATGTTCCAGAGAGCGGGTGCCATGCAGAAAAGGCTCATCTGTTAGGCCCCGACAGATGGAGTCCCTCGCAGATGGGACCCGCAACATACCCTTCCTGCCAGACCTGATGGGATGGGTGGATGTAGTCGGGGAGAGGCGGTCCCTCGGGTAACCAGGCCCCAGGCCATGTAGGGCTTTAAAGGTCAAAACCAGCACCTTGAATTGGACCTGGAAGGAAACCGGCAGCCAATGCAGCTTGCGGAGCAGAGGTGTAACATGTGCCCTTCTAGGGGCATGTATAACTGCCCGTGCCGCTGCATTTTGTACCAGCTGGAGCTTCCAGATACTCTTCAAGGGCAACCCCATGTAAAGCACATTGCAATAGTCCATTTGGGAGGTGATGAGGGCATGACTAACTGTGAGCAGAACCTCACGATCTAGGTTGAATTCATGACCAAAATTGTGTTGGAAGAAGAGGGAAAACACTTTTTTTTTTCAAAACGGAACAGCTAAAGACAACTTTAAGCTGCTCTATTGTGGGCTGGGAATTAAGTGAAGGCAATGTCCCGAGGACATGGCATATAAAAATGGTTACTGTGATAAGTTTATGCCAGGGTTCATACCAATATTTCTTTTTATCCGATGGTCTGCAAATAAATGGAGACACTGCTGGGGTGAAATATTCTGCAAGGAAGTTTGGTTGTAAGAAACATGAACCACACTGAAACCCTCCAATGTCTTCCCAGCCTCCTTACTGCCATTCTTCAGATGGATTAAAAACAAACAAACAAACAAACAAAGACCTATAGGTTGTAACATTAGAACATGTTGACAATTTTGTGTCTTTTCCAATAGCTCTGACTGTAGTTGCTGCAGTGGCTGGATTGGGGGCTGGGCGATGCATTCTAGCCAATGTGAATTGCGAGGTGGGGGGAGAGTAATGGTTGACCTGAGCCTTGCAGCTGAGAATTGGGTTCCCTGAGTTCTCCCATTGGAAACACAGACACAAGGTCTGCAGAAAATGCTAGCTTTGGTTTGGTTTCAAGTACATCAGAGCAGAGTCAGAAATAAATATAGTTCTTTAAAACTAATGCTATGAAATCAATCAGGTCTGGAGCTGACCCCAAAATGGCAGAAAGCTCTGGTGTGGAAGTGCCTTCTGTCACTCAGGCACTTAGAAAGACTGATACTCTTTCTTCCCATTACAAGACTGAATTTCTGTTGACTACTTTATTCATACATCTATTATGTAGGTGCAGAAAGGGAAGAACATGGACATTGTGATGTTCTGGTATGCCACATATTGAGTGGGGCTGGAGAATGACCACGAGCACCATCCTGGGCAAGTGTGGTGGCCATCTGTTATGCTTGCCTATGGTTTGGTTGACACTCCACCAGACACCATGGAACACCAAGGCACAGGATATGGCTGGCCCTGCAGCAGTGATCCCTGAAGCCAGGTGAGAGAGAAGGCAGCTGCTTTCCAGATGCTTGGGACAGGTTCCTAGCCCTCAACTCCTTCCAGTTTTCTGAAACAGGCTTGTGAGTTCCACATCCCATCTCTCTGTTGGGAGGCTCTCCAAGAACAGCATATTCACACAAGAACAGAGATACAACTTGACTGCAAATGAGAAGGTCAGGATGGGTGCACTCATTCAAGTAGTGTCAAGTAACAGATTTATTTATTTATCAAATTTATATGGGCACCCATGTCACAAAAAGTGACTCTGGGTGGCATATAACAATTAATAAAACAACCATATAAAAACATTCATTATTAAAAAGTACAAAAAACACAAAAACAGGAGCGGATGATGTTAGCTGCAGTAAGGGAGCCATCGCAACATCTCCTCAGTATCCTGGGACCCCCAGGCCTGATGGCATAACCAGGTCATGAGGGACTTGCAGAATGTCAAAAGGGATGTAGCTAACCTCAATTCTGGGGAGAGAAGATTCCATAAAGTAGGTGCCGTGGCAGAGAGGGCCCGCCTCCTGGGACCCGCCAAGTGCAGTTCCCTAACAGACGGGACCCGCAGCATGCCTCTTCTGCCAGATCTGACGGGACAGGCAGAAATAATTGGGGGGGGGGCAGTCCCTCAGATAACCCTTTGACCATCCTGTGGGTGTGCAGGTACCCCTGAGATAGGGTTCTAAAGACTTCCTATGATTTTGCCCAGTTTAAAGATGACCAGGGACAGTCTCAGCTTCCAAATCCCTTTCTGACATCTCCCCATTAGTGCATTCAGAAATTTCTCTCTTATCATTGGTTGAGGAATCTCCCCTCAGAGTATATGTATATAGCAGATTCCATTAAGGTTCAGTTGCAGTCTAGTGAGGAGGCACCAGAATAGGATGAAGAGAGGAAGAGGAAGCTTCAAGAAAACCCCAAGCTGATCTTAAGGCTTGGCTGCAAGCCCAAGAGGTGCCAAGACATGAAGTGCCTCAGGGCAAGCTTAGTGAGCAAGGTCCCCAAAGGCCTGCACTGTGCCAAATGCCTTGCACGTTGTTCCTGCCCTTTCAATCTATCCTCCCATTCCTAGCACTGATTTCCCCATTCATTGTAATGGGCGTAACCGTCTCAGTTACAGCTGCCTGAACCCTAAAACCCACTGCTGCTTAGCCCAGCCTGGCGCAATGCAATCATCACAGGGATCCCTCACAGGGACCAGCCATCCTGGGAACCCTCTATTGGAAGACAGCAGCAGCTCAAAATCACAGCTCTTTATCCTTACCATTTCTGATCCCCTCAAAGCCACCAGCGTCCAAGCGTCCATTCTTGACTCAGAGGATCCTCATTTGCATTTCTACTGTAACATGAATCATCGCCCTTGTCCGCATTAGACTTGTTTTGAACTGTAGAAAACCTGGAATACCTGTCAAATGGGATTGCAATATGTATTTCTCACAGGAACAGAACAAGTCCCAGCTGGCCCAGGGTGATTCAGGAAGGGGGTATTAGGCTCTGGCTGAGGACTACAACGTCCATGGCCCAACCATCTTTCTAAGAAAAGTGTGGTGAGCAATACTTCAGTTATGAATTTCCATGGGCTAGAAAAAGGTAGGGTTAGGGTTCATTCATTAGGTTGTTTTACTTTCCAGGCCTGACTTTATTTCAAAGCCCATCTTTGTGAATTAAAGTCATGGCTCTTAATTAAATTAATGACCTACTTTCTACAGGTGCAGCTTTTCCTAGAACAACTCATTTGAGAGATGGAGACACTTTCCCTCTATTTAATTTACTACCTGTAATAGCTAGATCAGTAAACCTAACACCCTTTGTTCCTGGCATATTTTACAGACCTTCCGTAAAACGCAAACCCAGTTTTACCTGAAAAAAAAAAGTTCCAAAGGTGGTGCTCAGCATGGCTATGGGGTGAAATCAAGGCAACCAGGTTACACATCACCCCCAGTCCACATGCCTGGTTTCATTCTAGAAAATCTTTTTATTATGATACAGATAACGCACCATCCCGTCCCACTCACTGCCCATTTTTGCCCCAGATCTCGTTTCCCTGAATACAGTGTTAGGGGTTAGGGTACTTCTAAAGCATGGTTGGGGAGGAATCGCCCCACTTTACACAGTGTGTGGTGTGTCCAGTTTTGGACATCTTCTTTAAGAAGGAATCGAAGACACTGGGACAGTTTAGGGGAAGGCCAGCCAGGCACATCGGGGGCCCTAAATTGCCCCTCCAGCTTTGTAATTCTTTGATTCTGAAATTATATTGCTTAAAATTAAGTCACTTCGGGATTTGGGCTGGAAAGGTAGGACATGAAGCCCAGGAATCACAGGTGGAAGGAAGACCCTGAGCGCAGGACCCTTTCCAGGCTGGTTCAGCAGCTTTTAAAAATGACTCATTCAGAGTTAGTGCTTGAAGCAGTGGGGGTGGCCGAGAGTGCCCTCTTGTATGTGCCACCTGAGTCCCAAAGACACTTACTATTGGGTGGCTTTCCTATTGCTTTTGTGTAATCATATGTGTTAGGGTATCCACACTTCTCCTTCTGGTAGAGAGAGCTCTCTCTCTCGCTGGACACAGAGCTCACAAATTGGCTGCCTCTGCCTACCCTCTGGGTGTGCTCCGGTCTCAAAGGCAGGGGCCAGGCCTTGCACAAGCCCCGGTGGGGTGAGGCCGAGGGCTCCTTGCCAGGGCTAGCGAGGAGGCCAGAGAGTTGCTGGCCGTTGGCCATGGGCTCTTTCTGGGGAGGGGCTGGTGCCGCGACTGGCTTCAACTGAACACAAATGCTCTTCCTTTGGCTAACAGGTCCCATATTTCACTGCCTGTTAGCCTGCAGTTTTTTTCCAGCTGCTGCTGAATATTTGACGAAGGCTAAAATAACCATAAACTGCATTAAAGCTGGGCTGATGGAGCCCTGGAGAGCATTTCAGCTCTCAAGATATTGCACAGCCATGCTTCTTGTTCAGCTATGGAAATGCCATTAACAGTATCAGTCTGACCCTAATGGGACTGAGAGAGAAATCCAAGAGTAGCTGAAAATACCAGCTTGAGGAGGCCAGGTAAGGTGGAAGCCCCAAGAGGGAGACAGGGGAGCAACGCTCTTTCCCTGTGCCCCAGCATGCGGGCAGCTGGGGCTCTTCCCTTGGCATCAGGTCAGCGGGTGGCGGATGTCCCACCCCTCCTCACAAGTGCTGTTGGGTGGTTTGCTGTGTCCCATGGTTCCTCTGGAGCTCCAGGCAATTGACGTGGGCCTCGTCTCATCATTTTGCTCCCCAGCAGCAGCCAATGGGGTAGTTAGGCCGAGGGAGAACAACTCGCCCAAGTCACCCAGGGAGCCTCTGGGGCTAAGGGTGCCACAGAGCCTGGCTCTCCTGCTGGAATGGTCTGCGGGAATGACCTGGGGGGCAGGAGGGACAACCGCAGATGGGACAGCCCACAGAAAGGGGGAGGGGGGAGCATTTCAGAAGGGACCCCCCCCCCCCCCCTTTTC